ATCTACCACGATTTTTGTTTTACATATGGAAATACATTAACAAGTGTAATTTAGAATGTAAATTTTCTTCAATAATCATAAACTTCTTCAAAATGGGTATTTTCCTCATCATTCGAAACTGTAACCATTTTTTTACCATCGTACCATTTACCATCGTACAATTTTTTTATCATACGCTCCTTCTTCATGGGTTTTATTTTTCTTGTTAATTATTTCCTAAAAGAATTTTAAGCCACGACGACAGTTTTAATTCTTCAGGCGACACCGCTGACAATACATTGGCGTGCCCCATTAGCCAATATCCATCTCCATTACAGAGGCAAGAGATTGGGCCAAAACAGAATTTTCAGGGAGAACTTGCAATGGAGCACACAGAATGTTCAAGAATAGACACACGGATTGTATTATACTATACTTAACATCATGGACAATCCCTGGTTATTATCATGAAATAGAATTCATTAATTTAATTTATTCATATTAACCTACTTCTTTGCTGAAATATGAGAAGAACAGTGACGTAAAAAGTAGATTTGCTTTAATCCCACTTTTTTCCTGTAGGAAAAAGGCAAAGACATCCAAATTACAATTTATTGTTGAAAATTAATTGGATTTAAAAAGAGGAATATTAAGACGAGCATAAACCCAGTAAACAATTGTAGAAATGCAGGTAGAAGTAATGCTAAATATTATTAATTTTAAATCGTAATAATTACGAGTTATTTTTTATTATTGATAAAGAAAATAAATTGGAAAACAGAGAAAGCAACACTTTATTAATTGTAATAATGAAATTAATACGTAAAAGATAATTTTCATTGCTATCATTGCTTCCAAACTCTGATTGCTCAATTATTATGGCTACAGTGTAAACTGCGTATTGTTTTTAAAATAATGACATAAAATAAATTCCCGACAAAAAAATCAATTCAATTAATGAAGAAGAAGACCGATGACGTATACGGAAAAAAGACGACCAAAAAGTCGTTTTTTAATCTTCCTCAAAACTGAACTTCCCATTGTAATATAATACAGCCAAAATTACATTGCAATTTGCAGTCAACATCATCCAAGTTTGATAAGGCTTGAACTTGAGCTGATTGCACCTATCTCGGCTAGAATTGTCGTCATAGTTGCGAGGCAATTATAAATCAATGTCCAGTATATTGAATAACTGAAATCGAGGAATAATAATTGAAATAAGCATAATACACTATAAAAATTTTTGTGGAAATAATTTTATCATATAATGCCCAATCACATAATGAAGTTCCAAAGTGTTGTTTCAACGTAACAATGGGTTTTGTGACCAACGGAGAATACACCCGTAAAAAATATGATAGAGGAACAAGGGAGGTAGCAGATGACGTAGAAAGTATACATTTTTAAACTGTGCGCGAATCTAATGTTTGAACTTTTCATAGGTCTATGGCCGATTCAATTGCGCCTACAGTGTCTATTTAATTCAAATTCAATTTTGGAGAACCGTTGTATTAGCAAGTAGCAAAGTATTGCAGTGCGACGTTCTATCGTTATTGATTATTCGATTACATATTTTCGATTACATATGACAACTTTTATGAATATAGAATCGCACGCAACGAAATTTGTGTGCCGAAATTTCACACGCTCAAAAATTTTCGGCAGTCCAAGTCGGATCCGATGACATATTTATTTTATTTTTTTTTTATTTATCCCTAGGATAGTTAACTTCATCCCTAGGATAAGTAGTTCATTACTCGTATGGTTGAATATTTTGATCTGAAGCGTAGATGCATTAACTTTCATCGAGAATAATTATGCTAATAACTACTAATTTTGTTTATTCTGAGGAATATTTCGAACGAGTAATTTCTACATCACTTTCTAGTTTCAGTTTGTGCATTGAATAACACATCAGAGTTTGCATAACTTCACTGGAAAATTTCTCAAATTTTATAACGATTCGATAATTTTGATGGAATCTTAAAATACGCGCGTAAACAAATCAATTTGAAAGGTTTGTGATTGTTTATTATATTGACCAATTATAACATTTGATTCGGATATCCATTATTTTTGCAAATCGACAAATTGCTTAGGTGATTTTTTACGCTTTTCTCTATTGTTTTGCTCACAGACTGTGGACTATTATGGTGTGACTAAATTCCATTAACTTTGCCCATCTGGTACGGAGATGACTATACTCGGAACTTTACCCAATTTTTAAAGATTTTTTCTTTAGATATCGAGAAAATCTACACTTCATTCACTTCTTTCCATACGTTGTGAAATTGTGTGGTTGATGCAAACTTATTGTTTTCTGTGTATGTTCTTAGAAAATTGTGAACTAGCGTTAACTAAACTATATTCTAGCAGTTTATGCGGTCAATTATTTTTTATTGGTCATACGACAGCCGAGGAAATTTTCAATGCGACTTGCTAAATGCTTCAGCTTTCAATGCTTCAGGTAAAATTTACATCACTAATTTGGATCTCATCTTAAACATGGAAGTTTCTGATCCCTCATTTTTCTCAAGTAGACTAAAAAATTTTTTTTATAACCAAACAATTGAATTTTTCTCACGACTGTTATATGTCCGTCACACATGAGAAACATTTTCAGCCACGCGAAACATTTTCAGCCACGCAATCATATTGTGGTTAATTTATTTATTAGCAATTGAACATTTTCTAATTACTTTAATCAATTATGCAAGAGTTTTAAATTCCATTGAATATTAGATTAGAATATGTTCATGAACAATTTCCATAAGGATGAATAACAAACAAATTTGGAGCAATTTCTTGATTTACTACATATATTTGTGATTGCTTTTGTTAGTGATCCAAAGCCAAAATAAGTGATCAAATAGCGTCTAAAATGGAACTGTGAGCGTCAGAAGTTCTGCACAAAAAAACTGAATAGGCTAATTTAACTTTATCCTGACTAATCAGCGAGCAAAGACATGATACTTTTGTCCATGAAATATTTCCCATTACCAGGATTTAATAGCCAAACATTTTAATGTGATTTCGATAATCCTTTGACTCAGATGAACATATCCCGGATTTGAACATGATTGCAATAGGCTAATAGACTCGTGAAAAAATTTAAATTGCAATAAACTCAAATTCTCAATCTTTGTTGTGAAAAAATTAACTTGAACCCTTTTTACATGTAGTGGTGTACGTTGTGGTAAGTAATAGAAGAAGTATGGTTAAGGTTATTCTGTACTATTAAATGAGACAAATCAAGACTTTTATAGATGTTGGACAGTTATCACTAAATTACATCCACGGAGTACTAACTTACATCCATGACGGAAGTTGTTTGATATCCAACGACTGTTTTCTTCAATTGTTCCAGCTGCAAACACCAATAATCATTTCTCGATGCAAGATAAACATTTGGACAGCTGAAGTTCGAATCCTAACGAATATTTGAACAGACAACGAGTAATTTTTCAAGCCATGTCGTCGCGGAGCAGCTGAGCGACAGGAGATTCTCGATACAAGTTTAACTATTAAACGGGCTTAGTTCCTCGTTCTCTGCACTTCATAGTCTAAGTTTACAGTGTGACAGTATAATAATAAGTGTTCCCTTTCTGGGAAGGGATTAATTGTATCTTTTAAATGTTATATTATTTACTTAATTTATTAAATCTATATTAACGAATTATATCTTTATCGTTTAATTAATTATATCTCTTACCAAGATACCTGTATAATTAGGAAATTTTAACGGTGCAATCAATATATTTATCCATAACTCATATTCTAAGCTCAGAAAAATTCGATGGAACCAAGGATTGCATGATTCTATTTCAAATGCGTTAAGGGAAGTGGCCGTGTGGCTGAAGCAACTGCTGCACCAAGAACGAAAAAATATTAATATTTGTAGAAAATACCCATATAAATGGAAATGTTTTTTTTTTTTGCGTCTGAGAAGCATTAATGAGTCAAAAAAGAAATTATCTGTGTTTAAGATTTCATTAAGCACGCTTCAGCACGCTTCATCTTCAGTTAATTCCAATGATCTCTAAGTGATAATTATAATGCAAAAAATTGTTTGCCTACAGATGATTGAACCTTATGAATTTTAAATCGTAGCCAATTCAATAGTTTCTGAACTGTCAAAAAATGATCTAGTAAGGATTCAATTGTAGTTAATATTTAGTCAAAATCACAACGAATTATTTCGTTGAATTTCGAATGTAGATTCGTACATTTATTTACTTGAAATTATTTAGGAAGCACTCGATGCGAAGATTAATGAAATATTGTCAACCATTGTGAGGCATATACATTTTCACTAAAATTTTATTCATCATTTCTGCCACCGAAATGCTTGATTCAAAAACCCTTAATTCGATGATTTTAAGTAAAAATTTCATTTGAAATCGGTTAAAAATTTGTGATATAACCACCAGCGCAGTCGCCAGTTCAACTATCATTTACAAGCGCGATAAAAACAAAACATTAAACAACAATTGAATATTTTATTTCGTGCTTTCTTAGTAATTGATATACGTTTCACGTGAGCTCATATTAAACTATTGAAAAAATTAATGTTACAATCCACAATCCTCCTCCACATCAAATTGATCCAAGTCTCCCATTTATTATTCGCATTTAAAAGTAAGTGTTGGGGAATAAATTATGCACCAATTTTTTGCAGCACTGAGACAATAATGCTGGGACGGTACAATTACGTCGGTCGTTATCATACTTAAGGCGTGATTTATGATGGATTTATCAATATTTACCTTGCAGTGCCAGGTTGAATAAAATTGAATAGAAACATTTTGCTGCAGCTTATAAAAATATTGTGAACAGTCGGGGTGCCTCATAAGACCTCACTACGCGACAAGAGCAGTGGGCTCGAATAGTGAGGTCAACAAGGATTTTAATAATCTCGAGAATATAAAATTACTACTGGGAAAATGGAAGCATTCATACCCAGTTTACTCCTAATGCTATCCGATCTAATGGAAAAACTCGAACTCAAATCAACGGCAATGATTCAGGCGACCGAATCTGGTGAGCCAGTAGAGTTAAAGAAGATTTTTATTAATTGGTGAATTTCCCATTGAAATTTCATCTGTGCAGCTCAATACTGAGGCTTTTGGCATAACTCAGCAAAATTCAACAACAATTGCATATTACAAATTATTAACTATTAATTAAAGTTTGGTGGTTAACGTATGAATTTCGATTACAGTAATTTGTTAATATTTTTGAATTGATATAAATATCAATATTCGAATTTCTTTCTACCAATATAGGATGCCTGTATTGAAAATTTTGCAATATATCTGATGAAAATCAACATTTTTCAACATTTCATCGAATAATTTTCAATTGTTCTATCCCATTTGATAGCCCGTAATCAAATTTGTTAAAAGTGTATTTTTTCAGGTTTTTGGGCTGACGCCTTTACTTCAGTGGCCTACAAAACCAACGTCAGCGTATGCTTTGCAAACTATCAAAAAATTTTCAAAGAATCTTTACACTCTGAACTCGATTTCTATAGTTCATTAGGAAAAAATGATCCATTTAATTACTCACTGGAAACCCGTAATAATAATGACTGTACCACGAAATACGCTAACTTATTGAACGTTTCGTTAAAAAATAAAATGCTTGACCAATATTCGATAGAGAATATTTCCAGTTTCATTGAATCATCAAGAGTCGATGGGTTCATTGCTAATTCTCTGATCGACCTCGTGAAGCCTTGTTTTATTGACAATCATAAAACTATTATTATTTTTGGCAGTTCAGAGGATATTTTTGAAGTCATTGAACGTTCACTAACGTGGGATAAATTTTCTAAGGTAAAATTGCATAAATTTGCACGATTTGTGATTCCATAAAATCCACTAATCTACATTATACTATTTTTCAATTATGATATTTTTAATTCTAAATGCAAACATTTATACACATGATCTATATTGATTAACACAATAAAAGACATTAGGACCTTGTTATTAAGATAATTACTGAATTTCTTCGACAGTCTCTCCACTGGCTGAGCATCCAAATTGACGGGAAGTCGTTGCTTCCAAGGGACATTTCTGTGCAAGACTTTCCGCTTCTAAAGTGGACGGCTATCTCTCTCGTATCTAGAATACCATGTAAGATACGATATTCTTGCACTGTGCCAGGGTAACCTGCTCACTCCTATAACGTGTACAAACCTGCACATTCTTAGGGTAACCTGCGCACTCCTAGGCTAACCTGCACACTCTTAGGTAACCTGCGCACTCCTAGGCTAACCTGCACACTCTTAGGGTAACCTGCGCACTCTTAGCGTAAACGGTCCACATCTAGGGCAACCTGAACACTTTTAGGATAACCTGCATACTACTAGGATAACCCGCACACTTCCAGGGTAACCTGCGCACTCCATGGTAACCTGTACACTCTTAGGATAACCTGCACACTCTTAAATTAAAACCTGCACACTCCCGTGTTAAGCTGCATACTCCTAGGGTAATTTCCTTCAAATGAGGTAAAAAAAACTACACGAGCAATATTTGCCGTTTATTCATGCAATATCAAACCGAGTGATGAATTTTTATGTTTTATTTCACTGATATCAATGATTTGTCACGCTAAATAAAATCACAAGAAAAATGAATAATTGAGATTGAAGTTATCTTCTCATCTGAAATGACTCATGATAAGTCTATATCATCATATTTCATTTATCTATTCGTAAAACTTATTTGCATTGTGACGATATTGAGTTATTTTCACTACAATAATTTGCCTAGTGCGATAAGAACGCCAACCAATCATTACTTTACATTGTACTTCGATATAATAGAAAATTCGAAGAAAATCAGTGGAACAAAATTTTAATACTAATTAAAACATGGTTCTTAAACATCAGGAAAATATTGTGACGACACATAATACTGATTAACAGTAAAGAATGAATTAATTCCTGTTATATTTCCCAAACAGCTCGGCCTGCTTGGCAGATCAACCGCCTGGCGCTCACAAATGGCATGCAATTAGGCTTCAAAACGCTCGGCTTGTGGACGCCAAACAATAAAGCCAGCATGAAAGACAACGAAAAACAAAACTTCATTGAAAATTTACAGCCATCAATTCCTCTGAATTTTGGAGGGAAAACCATTATTCTCTCTGGAGGGAAGCTCACCCAACCTTGTGAGTAATGACGAGAAAATTTATTGTGAAGTTATCCGAAAACAAGAACATTTATGCCGTCATGTGCAATTTAATTCGGAATAATAATTGAAACCAAATTATTTGCAATGAATCGATGATAAATTTTCTTTTTATATTCAACAGCGAGAAATAAAAATTTTCTAAAAAATGGGCATGATATTATGGCGATAAGAATTTGTTGCAGATTTTTCATTATAAAACCATTTGCAGCAACTTTTCTTATCAATTCATTCGAAACTGATCGAAGGAATTAGATATGTTTGATGCATATTTTGTTCATCACATGGATGACTTTTCTATGTGACTTTTAATTCTTATATTCATTTTGAAGATGTATATATAGGAAATTTAAATACTTTTCACTTGTCCATCCTTGTGTTTTTTTTAAAGGACACGTAGCAGCAATAAATAATGCTACAAACTAAAAAAACATTATATGATAATGGAATACAGACTTTAAGTGACGTAATTAGGACCAGTTTTTAGTTTAATTATCGCAAGTTGAGACAAGACGCAGGTAATGGGTTGTTACATTGATGCATTAATTCGATGTTATACCGCAGTTGTCGAGAGAACGCAGGTAATGAGTTGTCACATTAATGCATTAATTCGATGTTGTACCGCAGTTGTCGAGAAGACACAGGTAATGAGTTGCTACTACGACACAAAGAACGCTACGCGATGTACGGGCTACGTCGGGGAGCTCGTGAACATCATCGCTGCATCTCTGAACACGAGCCTCGCTAACATCAAGGGGGGAGACTGTGGGGCCGCGTCTTCAAATAAGAGTCGTCTTAACGATGTTCAACGCGGGGTATGAACAAATATTTAGATTAATGATCACTAATGAACATATATTTATAAGAATGATCTGTAATGATCAAGTATTTATATTAATTATAGCTAATTACCAAGTATATATATGAATGACCTGTAATGATCAAATATTTATGTGAATGATCTCTAATTATCATATATTTATATGAATTTTCTCTAATTATCATATATATATATATATATGAATGATCTGTAATGATCAAATATTTATGTGAATGATCTCTAATGATCAAATATTTATGCGAATGATCTCTAATGCATGGTAGTTAATTTCAACGTTATTCTTGTTTTTTTTTTGTGAAGCAAGGGAGATGGACTGACAGAGTTATTTATCTTCGTAATGAACAGAATACAAAACATGACTGCATGTGTCACAATTCAGTCAAAAATATCATGCAAAAGAAATATTCATGTCAGGGAATTAGTTAAGATTGCTGCTGAAAAAAAAATTGAAATGATTTTTAAAATGAAATAAAAAATTGCAATAAAAAAATGTAATCAAATTTATGTGATCAACTCATGTAGTCAAAAAATGTAATAATGCGAATACCTGATGCTTAATAAATACGAGTATGAGATAATATTTTTTTCATCTCTATTGCTTCGTGGCTCACGGACCTATAATATTTTGGCAGTTGACGTGGAAGTATCAGTCAACGTTCGATTTCATTAACCAATATTATTTTATATCATGCAAAATTTTTTGTTTTGAATGCAAAATATGTCATTTTGTCGGTCGTACAGACATAATATATATAAATATATATATGAATTTAAAGTTTGAAAAGACTGTAGGCCAAAAAGTTAAGTAAACATTTCGAGCGAATATATGCATGGTCCATAATGATAATTCAAAATGAACATTAAAGTTGGCTTCCTCCCAACGGTATAATATTCTTTTTTTTATAAGCATAGACGAAAATAAGTTATTTTCATCATGCATTTCTTTCAAATACATGATGTAAAATTTTAAATTAATCTTTAAATATTAAATTTAAATTTCTCGTATTCATTATTACCAGAAAACTATAATAACACCATCACAACGTCTCAACGACAATACAATTAATTTACAACTGAACTGAGCTTCGGCCATTTCTACACACAACCACTAAAGTAAAACATTAATAGGAATAGCTACAACTACAAACTATACGACTACTGCAACACTAAAATACCACAACTAAATCGTTCCACTCGACAATAGCCACTATAATCCTACTAATACGCACAAAGAAAAACAACACCAACTTTACCACCATTATTACTACGCAAAAACACTTCTCGAACACCACCTCTATTCCACCATTACTTTTAAAAAACCTAGGTAGCCTTTTCATAACTTGTAAGGCGTTTTCCTGACCTATAACAAGGTTCGCTATTCGCGAGAAGTACGTGACCGATACAATATCTTACCGAGATTTGGCGTTCAGATAAAGCGTGAGTGCAGCCATGATGTCGCATGTATTAATTCAGAAGAAAACGTTGAAGGGTTTTTGCCCTGAAGGCGGCAGACCTGGCGGTGGGAACGTGCGTACTAACGCAGGAGCGAGCTCAGATTGCCCACAGCTTCGAGTGGTTTGAGCTGCAGGGAACTTTTATCAGCACCGCGGCCCTCAAGACTCTCCAGCAGCCTTTCCTTATCGCCGACATTTTTAAGGCGGAGGTGAGAAAACCGATTATTTTTTACATAGTTTATACGCATATTCGTCAAGCCGTATTTTTTTAGATTTACAAGGGATAGTTATTACTAAAGTTCTATGTTTGCCTGTTAATTTATTTTAATTTGATATTAAAATGTTCGTATCTAGTGTTGTTACTTACGGAAGGTTAACGATGCAAAAATGAGTGAAATTCATTTATTGGGTTTTGAAAAATGTTCAGACTTTTTGCTCTATGTTTAGTAGCAAATGCCTAATTTGCCCTTATCTTCACTCCGTGTTTTCGAGAAGCAGGTAAATTTTCCTTTTAAGATCTTTTGCTCTGGATGGATATTGCTTTTAATCCTCGTTATATTCTAGATATAGCTGGAGAATTATTGAAAGTTTACGCTTCATACGTAATTTTAATTCTGATTTTTCGTACAATTTTTGGCCAAGCTCTTCAAAAAATTTAAAGACCTACGGGTGATATGTACTTTTTGTTATCGAGCATTTACAGGAATATTAAAAGTGGATATATGATAACAAACGGTAGATGAAAAGCTTGAGGATTGTTGGATTCAAATGTGAACCAACGAACATATTCTATTTCAGAATTGCATGTCAATAGTAAACAATATTATGTTAAGCATTAAAAGTTGATGAACTAATTTTGACACCAAACTATAGCCATATGATAAATGACCACTGAGCATCTATTCTTTGTTATTAGTTAATCTCATTTAGGAATGTCCTAGCAAATCACAGTTAGCGCGTGAATCATAATTTACAATAAAAATTTCTAACCTCAAATAATTCTCAACATTACACATCCAGGTTTGGTTGCTTGTGCTGGCAGTTACAGCAGCAGCCACTATTGCGTTCCTGTTCATCCAGACAATAATGGATGAGCCAAGAGATATCGTTGAAATCCCCTTGCGTGCCATTCTCTCTCAAGGTAAACTTCGCTATAAATTATTTGAAGAATTTATGAACTGCATTTAGCAACCAACAAGACGGGCGATATTTTGTTCTAATAATTTTACAACTGACGCTTTTTAACTCTGATAAGCCAAACTAGAATGACGAGTTACGAGTTAGTTGATGCGCAAAGAAGTTTATAAGATACTTAGCTACAAATTACAGCAGTTCCGCTTTTTTTTAATAAATTGTTGAACCAATAATCTTTGATTGGTCGTCACGATCCCTTGCAAATTCGCTGAAATTCCAAAGCTCATGACCTTGAATAGCTGAAAGGGTTAGCGACGGAAGAAACTTAATTGTTCCATCATACGAAGTTTGAGTGAAAACATCAAACTTCCAAAGTTTACTTTAAAATTGATGCAAACTCTAATCGAAAACGTAAAAACGATAATAAATGATTGTCGATGACGATAAACTGCACCCGAAAATTCAAAAAACTTAAATATTTTCATCAACAACACTTGATAGCAGCACAATTGAGTCAATTCAATTATCCTTCTAAGCATTTGTACTCTATTTTAATTATGAAAATGTTATTCCTCCTTAGTCACAGTTACCATATTCAGATCCGTTACAATTTGAAATCATTTTATGAAAATTTTGAGTTTGTATTTTTGAAAAAACAAACAGCAAGTTTGAAAAAAACACGTTTAATATCGTTCAAACGTGTTTTTTCTCATAAGTAAATGACTTTTTAGATATGTTTTTCATAGCTTCAGCCCTTCCTATACTAAAATAGCTCATGTTTTTTCCCATCTTCAGAATTTTTTTTGCATTAAAGTAGTCTTTTTCAAATTTTAACATTTTTTCTGTAGTTCTCCCCAACTTCAGTATTTTTTTCGATTGGGTCAGCTGTTTCCTTATTGTGCTGGATAATTCGTTGCACAGAAATATTTTTTTCTCATTCCTACATTTTTATCCCGTAAAATTACTATTCATTTAGAAAACTTTTTTTATTACCTGTTCAATTGTGGCTTGTGATTTTTCTTAATCTAACATGACTTTTCATATCGTAATTTTCGGATAAAGTAGGTTACTGTGAATATACCTGTTATTCGCAGAGATCAGAGCGTCTCGACCAATGCATTACATTGTTTATTGTACTTCGCTGATTAAAGAACGTTTAGTCTTCCCTAATCAATACAATATAAAGTTTCTTGCAAAAGACTTTATGAAAGACACTTTTAATCTCGAGATGCGATCATACAACAGATCCTCGATGTCAATGATCATCCGTTCAATTGACATTTATTTTTTTCAATGAACCATGTTATTAATTGATAATTTGTCAAGTATATACTCATCAAGTGGATCGCAATAACTGTAAAAAAATTAAAAAACGACCGTTGCGGACCTTCAAGATAAATACTTTTTAACGTAGAACATCTAACTTTTTTCAATCTGACCTATAATTTTCTAAGTAACTTTCTGCATGTTAGACGCCTCTGCTTCTTTACAATTTTGGGAATTTTAAAGCTCGAGTATTTTGCCGGATGCTTTACTTACTTTTACTTTGCGACCATGATTCACCTGGTATTATCGGCAATAATATTCACATAATGAAAGAACAAACACTAAGTTACTATGTTATTATTATTATTGAATGTTATTGACATGAATCCGAATCCGAATGACTAAAAATTAAAGCAACTATACTTTTTAGGGTACAGTCCTCGGACTGGATATTTTGCAACACGCTTGCTCGAACTGGTGACTTGGGCTTTCACCATTCCCTTGGTGGCTCTCTACGCGGGCAACCTCACTGCTAGTCTCTCTAGTCCGAGGTACATACGTAAATAATTTAGTCTCATGGACTTTACTTTCGTGTTTGCATGGATTAATATCAAATATACACTCAAAACATTTAAATAGAGCCGTCAATGTCCTTAACATTCTACCGTTGCCCGACAAGACTCTTCTTATAATTAATTCCATCATACAACATACAGACAATGCCACATTATTTTTATTTGTTATTGTTATTAGGTCGTGGCATTGGAAAGCTTATGCAAAATGCGTATAGCAAACATGCATTAAGACCATAGCTAGTGACGTAAACTTGAAGTAGATCATCTACGGCACGATTCACGGTAATTTGTTCTGAACAAACCAATGTAATGGTTTAATTAACCTTCTCCGTAATATATAAGAAGGGTAACAACATTAGCACTTGCAGCATAAGCGAAGCATTACATACATAAACTATGTGGATTAAAACAATTGCGTACTCAATTGGAGAAAATTTGATTGTAATTGGATTAGCACAGATTTTATTTCCAATAACTAGAATAATGTGTAATAAAGAACAAGCGTTCTTCTTTCTTATTAATTGCATCACTTCTCTCTCTAACTCCGCAATTCCTTCAATTCATTAACACAATTTCTTGTCATGTCGTATGACCGATGCAATATCATTAATTATTGAAGAATTTCATAATAAGGGAAACGCTTTCACGAAGAAAGAAGTGTTACTATGATTTAATTCTTTACACCACATGTTTAAGATACGGACGTATCGTTAAAATGCCATAACATTCTTAACGCTATGTTTGGGTTCTAAATTCTCTCCGCAAATGTAAATATTTTCAACATTTCTCTGTAGATTTTTTATAAAATTCTCTACGAGTTTTTAAGTGTAAGTGGTTTGGGGGCAACGTTGAAATTTCGGAATAATAACGTCGAGTTGTGTGGAAATTGTTCGATGGAAACCTCATTGCTGCATATCTCTTTGAACTAAGAGATCACGACTCATTTCCAGCTTTGATTGTATAGACTGCAGGTGATTAAGTTTCTTCGAAGATATTATCAGACATTTTACAGTCATGAATACAACATAAATATTGCTAAATGAAATAGGAATAAAATTACGATTACGAGGCAAGCGTTAAATTTCTTTATTTTGAAGTGATTGATTAAAGAGAATAATAAGCAGTTTGTGCAATTTTGCAACTTTAACTCGAATGGATGCCAACTTTCATGTTAAATCTTTCATATCAAACTGCTCATAGCCGTATAAGTGCCAAGACAATTGACAGATAACACATGTAGTCTGTGGTAAACCTAAGCGTGTTCCTCTATACTTCACATAATTCTAGTGATAACAAGTAATTTATTAGACCTTAAACCTTAACGCTGCACAAATTACAGCATCCGCTGCAATCGAATATGGAATATTAAAAAATGTTCGTATGAAGTGCCTAGTATTTTCGTCAGGCTATGGGGTAGATGAGCCGAATTTCCGACCTAAAAACTTTTCTCCACTTACAGGTTTGAGGCTCCAGTCAACTCCTGGTCTGATCTGGCCGCGCGTCCTGACAAAATCCCGGTATTCTTCCCCAACGATCCTATTCATCAGCTGCTCGTGGTAAGAAATTCCCTGTATACTTCATAAACGATATCGTTTGGCCTCATTTTGTCGATACGAAAACTTAGGCACTATTCACCATATTAAACTATGCAACATATGCTCGTGATAAGAAAATCCAGGTCATTTTCCCACAACGGTCCCATTCATCAGTTGCTCTTGGTATCTGTTAATAACATGGGAGAAAATTAACGAGAATTAGTTGATAACATACATGCATTTATGAGCGTTCAGTCACCGAAGCATTTTACAAGGACTTAATTTGTAAAACAGTCGAGTTTGGATTTAAATGTTTATTTTTTAACGATTACAGAACAAGCAAAATTGGCTGGAAGTAGCAACGGCGCTTCCAATAATAGCCAAAATGCTTCGTGAGGTTTTCATTTATCTACTTATTCTTATGGCAGCAGTAGCGGTGAATTAAATTTGGATGTTAATAAGGTTGGCTTATTCCGAGCGTGGCTAAGTTTTAATTAAGGGTTCCAGGTTTGGTCTCCTAGGCACTGCGACGTAGCCGGGGCACCAGACAACGTAGACGTGACGTAAAAGAAATAACGTAGCACTGATGTAAGGCGCATCGACAACAGGACCAGAAACTTGAGGAATGTGGTACTAGAAAGTATGTATAATCTTGGTCAGTTTCATGCAGGATTCAACAATAAAAATAATGAGCAGCAATTTCAGCAATAATAATCAAATTGATTTAAAATCTTATAACTGACCTGAGGTTTTTAATGCCCAGTGTTACGACTTCATGAATATGGAATGAATGAAGAGTTTAATTGTAGAAATTTAGAGGAAATCAGTTAGAGGAGTAGGAAGTTGGACGGAAGAAGACAGCAAGAATAGCTAAAGGTTTCACTGCGTGTTGAAAGAAGATCAAAGACTTAAATTAGGATGGCACATTCCGAAACAGTATAACCAACTGCCATCGTGAATTGCAAGACCCCAGTTCTGGCAAAATAGAACTATCTATATTTAATATACTTTGAGGAAACTTTAAAATAATACAAAATATTTGCTGTAATTATTATATATTATAAATATAATAACTATGTAAATTATTAATAATATTACAACTATGTAAATTATAAATATCTAGTATTTCTTAAAATGCAATCTCTGAATAAATACTTTTGACCGATCTGACTGTGAAACAACAATTATTAAAAATAATGAAATTGGTTAGTTTATTTAAAATTGAATAAAAGGGAAAAGCCATCATATTTTAATTAATGACGTTTCAAAGCTGAGTAAAGCTTCAAAAATTTATTTCATTCTAAAATCGTTTTTTGTTGTAATGAAACAAACGAGAGTGAATAATAAATTTCGATAAAATTATTTTAAACATTTACAATTCACATTACCCAATATTTAAACGACATTCAAATTTCTTGAGTAAAAAACTATCATTCCACCCATTCAGTGCAGGCAGTTCAGTTAACTGTCTTGCTTTTATTCCAAGTCATTACATCAGTTGAATTATGTTACGAAATACCGTTCATTTCACTGATCTTATTCGGTGAAGAACTAAGTACAAGTCGGGCCAAAATCAAGGAAAAACGCAGTGCGAAAAGTTAGATGAAAATAAATATAATTTTGATTTTCAGATAAATTAAAACAATCATTTGTAAGTAATATTTCAATAATTATGTTATATACTTTTTCCGTACCTAATATTTGACAGTTTTACTATTGATAAAGTTTTTTCCTCTTTGCTAAAGCCTCTAATCTTTAATCTCGACTGACATAAATCATAACTACAATCTTCGGCAAGAACTTAAACAGTGAACATTCAGAAAAAATATAAATCAGTACTCACTGCAGTGAGTGACAGAGAGCGCATTTTCTCGTTGACGAAAACGTGGTCACGGACAGACGGACGGACAGACAGGCGGACGGACGGACGAACGGACGAACATGACGAGCAAAATAGCGCCGTTTTTCCATAAATGAGAAAATGCGCTAAAAAGGTAATTAGTTGTCGATGGCCCTCGCGTTAATCAAGCATTTTGATTTTCAAAAAATTTCCCAGTGTTGACTCTCAGCTTTTCAGAAGAATGGCTACGTAATTCATACTCCATATCCTTTTCACTTCCTAAAAATTGGCAGGTATTGAGTTTCATTCCTGACGCCCTTCATTGAGTTGTCAACGTTTTGTTAACTAATACTTCAATAATTTAACGCTTTCTATTTTTCAGAACAAATCCGGAGTGTTGGGGGAAATCTACAGAAAGGCAATAATCCCTGATAACTTGATATGGGATGCAATATCACGTCGAGTTATGTACGGAGAACTAGCTTTTATCAGTGAGTTCACACCTGTTCACACCTGAGTCACAGTGAGTACAAAATATTGCAAAATTTGCCACATCAACTGCCATGATTAAGCCGGAATTTCAGATTGCATCACTATTTAATATCAACTCAGACTAAATAATAATAATAACGTTTTGTTTGCTGAAGGTTGTTAATCAATTTGAATTTAATCATGAAATCGAATCATTTTAACACGGCAACGGGAAAATTATTTGACGTATCATTGGCAGCACATTTCTCTTTTTTGATATGAATCAGATTTAGCCCCAACTATTTATTTGGAAAACATTTACCAAAATATTTAAAAATACTATTTATTTAAAATAAAGCCTTAACCATAAAATAGAGAATCAACCAACAGGATAAATTCCATGAGCATAAATAGAGTTGTACTGCTCAGTATTTTCAGCTCAAGAAGCAGACTGTTATCAAAAGAATTGATTCGTTTACAATCTCACCCAATTTCAGATAAGAAATTATCAAACTTGCCCTCATCTTTATCAGTCTGATAACGACATCTGACGTGCAAAAAGAATATTTTGCTAAGCGCAACATATCATCTGAGTTTCATGTTGCCATTGAGATACCAATGCACCGGCAAAACTTTTCTTTGCATTGAACCTATGCGGCTCATCTTACAGTAACAAGCTGTAAATGCTAGCGAATAATAAAGTTGAAAAGTAATTATCCTTTCGACATATATATTAGATGATATTATAATTATAACGAGTTAATGCGAGTAAAACTTTACTATTGTTAGAAATTAGGTTGTCCGTATTATTAAAAAACTAATTTATCAAAAAATCTGTAATAATTCCTACCGCAGCGTGTAGATAATAACTACTTATATTTCAAAATTCAAGCAAATCCGTTCACTATTATAGGAGTTATGAGTCGTTCGGTTGATTACAAAATACGTTCATTAGTTTTAATTGAAAACTAATTTATCAAAAAATTTGTAATAATTCCTTTAAACATTTCGGCTCGAGTAGACAGTCGGCGGGCGATGGTAGAGCGCGCCACGAGCATCAACCTAGCGGACGGCCGAGGCTTGGGCAGAAGCTGCAACGTCAGAATGTCTGATGATTCCGTCAGCTTCAGTATCATCGTATTATTCGGTGGCCGCAACAGTCAGTTCGAAGAACCATTCAATAAAAGGTGGGCAAATCACTCCTTGAATGCTTAATTAAATCTATCGACTTATTTTTATCGACTACACCGTCTCTACATGAACGATATTGGAAGTTAAAATGTATTAAATTAAGCCGTTTAGCAATCATTTAATGCATTTAACATGTGCAGAAATTACATAAAAATCTTGTGTAACTTCCATTTGAAAAAACAAATATAGAGGCTATTTATCGTCTTCACAGGTTAGCGAAATTTCCAGCTTTCGTTTTTCAAATGTAAAAAAACTTAATTTAATTCGGGCAGTTATTCTATTTCTAAAGTTTCCTCTGCATTTCCTATGTAGCAATGTTCAGTCGACTACCCAATTAAAGTATTTGGAATTTGCCGGCTAATAACTTTGGACGTGATTTAAAACAACTTGATGATCAACTGACACTTTTTTTAATCACAAAACAATACAAAAAATATAAAAAAATCAATTATTTCGTTTCATCCATCCCAGAATTCGTCAGCTACGAAGTTTCGGCGTTGTTGAAAAGTTGTACCGAACGTTCGTGCGCGATGGATGTTATTTACAGTCGGGCCGACGCAAACGCCGAGACTCCGGAACCGCAAATCCATCCCGGTTGACTTTAGAGCAATTGCAGGGAGCGTTCTGGCTCTACATTCTCGGCAATATATTAGCCTGTGTTGTGATCTTTCTTGAGGGAGTGATACACCGACGGCAAACGAAACGTAACTAACTATTACATGTTTGAGTAATATTATTACTTCAGATAACAGTTTAATGCTTGTCATCACCTTCACATGTTACAGGCATGTATACAGAGAAGTCTCTGACACATATATGATTTTGGATGCATGAAACTTTTTATTTTCCTTTCCTCATTTCTCTAATCCTCTCAAACCCACGTGGTGTTTACTTGATCAAGTAAGAAATGTTATCGTCTTGCATACAGAAATTTATCTTTAATTTATTGCATACCTCCACCAATTGAATATTGGCGAAGATTATTTCTGAATCTTAGTACTCCATGGATGGTAGTAATTTTTTTCTAACACAATAAATTTTATTCATTATGTACTAAATACTACAACTAATGATGAATGGGTCCAGGGTTTTTCTGTTCACTTCTTGCTGTAGTTCTCACTTTTTCTCACTAACAATGAATGGTCAGTGATATCACTATTTAGAGTTTTCTTTCGAGATGATTACAAATTTCTTATCAGTTTAATATTTCTAAAAGCCAAACCTGAAATAAAATTTTTCTGAATTTGCTAGTAATCTTCCGGCAATGAATCAGTTAATGAATCAGTTGCTCCAATCCGTATCATTCAAAAATAAAAACTCGAAAACTATTATTTTATTCCTAATCTGGCGAGAACATGAAAAATTTGCTAGTAATGACTGATTTCACCAAATTTTCTGCAATGATATTGTGTCCATTGTCAATTTTAATGCATTTTCGGGACGTTCCTTTATTGTGAACGTCCCGTTTAATTCTTGTATAACTGAAATGATAAGAAATCTAGATGCATTTTCAAATAGTTCTGTTATAAGTAAATAAAATTTCGATAATGTATAGGAAGAAAAAGCGAATCGTTATCTTGTTATAAATTATTTCTGCTTAAAATGTTCAATTTGATTTGCTATTTTGAAATTACGCGCGTTACACGAAAATTCTCATTAATCAGATAAGTGAGGTGATAGTAAATATTATCAGTCTTCTTTTTACTGATCCGAGTAGTTTTGATTATTTGTAGCTTTGGAATGACTTTGGCAAATGAAAGCTATTTGAACCGAAAATATCGGGTAAATTTTATTTCACAATGTATGTATAGCTTGTAATTTGTTCATCGCGTTTTCAGAATAATTTTGTATCTGTATACAAAATCTTTCGTTCACAAACACAGACGTAGATTGTTTTTCACATGACAATTTTTTAATAAGCACTTGAAATTTCACTAACTTCAAAGTTAATTATCCGGATTAAAAAGTTCCCGCACTTGTGCTCGGATTTCATTTGAAGAAAAAGCAGGTAAAGGAGAAAATGCAAATGTTCCTTAATTAATTTTCCTGGACTTAAAATAGTTAC